CCTGACAAACTACCCTAGCTGAGTTTACTGCTTGATAGTCCGTTTTGGAAGCCTTCAACTAAGGTGCATTAAGAATGGATAATGGAGACACAACTAAGGCTGAATTTAAGAGCATATACTTCAGTAGAAAAATTCTGCTCACCTTCATTGGAGCATTAGCTTTAATTTCAGTGGATGAAATGTCAAAACATTGTCACCTTATGTGTTAACCTTTAAACTGTCTGACATCAATGCATGTGTGCATTCAAACAAAGGTTCTTAACTTCAGCATCACATATCAGTTCCTTATCACCAAACAAGCCCTATAAATAAAAATGACTTATGACTTTGTATGAGCTGTAAGTGGGGTTGATCGGAGGTTGGATAGCCGTGCAACATTCCCTTTGGTATTTCTCACGGTTGAATAAGGAAGTGTATTCAGATCAAACAAGCTCAAGTTACAGAAATAATATGCTTCAAGTGTTTACACTATGAATGCTGGATGAGAGGGAAACTGTCATACGGTGTTAAAAGCAACCCGGTATCACAGCAAAACGTGAACATGTGACGATTTACCATCCTGGGAGACGTGAAGATGTCACGATTTTGTCCCTTCAAATGTGACAGTTACACGGTATTGTTAACATGGCCCAACCAGTGGAGAAATACCCGGAAATGCCAAGCAAATGCTCTACCCTGACGGTCGGTTGTTATTGTCAATATTAATATAATAATTATTTATATTTTAATAGTCACACTCGATTTCGCCGAGTTGCCCCAGTTGGTTGACACCTCTTTTAGCAGAAACAAAGGCTACATTAATGTATTAAATCGATGTTAATCCATGTGTGTGGTTGTAGAATTAACGGACGTGACGTTGTGTGATTGCGTTGCCAGGCAACAGCTTGGGTTCATGTTCATTTACAAACTCTTCAACTACAACCCTAGTTATATTTAAAAACATTTTAGAAGGCCTCACGAAATACTTTAATGTAAATTCAAATTAAAATGTGAAAGAATGTGTGTATAACAAAATACATCTGTCATAAACAATACCGGAAACAGACGTAGGCAAGATCCTCAGCTTGGTGATTGCATGTTTTAGCCGCAATGCACGTTGGGATATGGTGTTTATGCAACACATTCTCACTCCCAACTCGGCCTATGTTGACGTTATGTCGGTACCGACTTGCAAAACGATTTCTATAATAACTTAAATAACTAACCCCACCACACCGGTTTACACGGTTTATACGAAGTTTTTACATTTCGACCTGTATCTTCTCAGTCACGAAAACAGGACACCAGGTGACACCCGGGGCACCAAAAAATAAAATAAAGTTCTAAAAATTAATGCAGCGAATTTGAGGAACTTTTCCAGGAGAAGGAAAAGAGGGTCCATTGCTGTTTCCGTCCCCTACCGATATCACAGATAGACGTATGACAGTTAACATAACAAGATCAAAAAATTTTCTTTTTTCTCTTTAATGGATTTAATAATTATGAAGACTTACCCAGCTGCGGTTGTTGAAACGTAAATAGTTTACTGTTGAGATTTGTTGCTAGGATGGATTTCTTCGGTACAGGAACTAGACGAAGTGGGTTCTAAAAGAAAATTATTACTTTCAATATATGTTAATCATTGGTTCACCCACCTGGGAAAGTTTAGATTCAAAACCTATCAGACGGTACCAAAGGTAGGGTAAAGTTTTTACGCAGCAAACTGCGAGCCACATTGGAAGCAGCGTGACGGTGAGTTTGTAGGTTATGTGCCTCGAACTCCTGATTAGTGTCCCAAACAGTTAGTGCGCCTCTCTTTATGAATGAAGGTCCACCACATTTCTAAGAGATTCGTTGATGATACTCGACGAGGCTGAGGAGCGAGGACTGTCTGGAGGTTTTTCAGGTTTAATATGTTAGTTTGTTTATTTATTTGTCGTATCCTATTAACCACAGAATACAACTGCATTTATTGTCACCACACCAAAATCTTTTATTATGTTTTTAATGCTTCCTTTTTGTTACTTTGTTATGTGTCTAAAATCAAAGACTCGGGGATGACTGCCGTTGTTTCAGTCTGAAAAGTAATTTTATCTCCTCCGATTGTGTGTAAATTCACACCGAACCATAACTCAATCTTTTTCCAACTATTTGCGGACACTCTTACCTAGACCCTCTCGTAAAGCGGCGCTAGAGGTTGAGCAGATAATGGGTCAAGTCCCTCGAGATTCACGTTCAGTTAACCCTGAGGGACTTAGTCAGACTTTGAGTGTGATTTCCCAGGGGGAACGCAACCTGTTGCGACTAGCTATTACCCNTAATATCTTAGCAACATTCAGCATGGATAGGTGTTGACAGCAATGGCATGGGAAAAGGATTGTGTAAAATTTGAAAAGTGGTGACCATACGATGGCAACCATCGTGGTCGAGGGAAACAAATGAATGAGCAAGCATTCTGCGTTAAATGTGTTCATACTGTTTGAAATAATGACTGTGGCAGTGTAAACATCTTTGCTACATCTTTTGTAAAATTGATGTGTGTGATCTGCAGATTGGTGGCCATTGAGAGTTTGTTACTGTAGTTTTACAAAAACTTTACAGATTTGACATATTTGGCACTGGTTTTAAATATGCAAAGGCCTCTAACTTCGTTGTGATGGCAGCATTTATTTGCTGTGTCCCCATTTCCCATGGTAATGTGGCTAATGTGTTTATGTATTATTTGTGGGGCAATTTAAATTTGTGTTATTTATCTTTTTTTTCAAGATTTAAATGAAGCTCAGCGCAAGTTCTTTCAGGAAGACTGGGTGTATATACATTCACTCTGCAGCTCCATATAATCAGCTCATCACAGGCATTCTCTTTAACCTATTACATTTCACCTCATTCTCCAGCAGCCAATCAACGTGCTGCAGCCAAACTATAAAATGGTTCTCCTCTCTCCTGCAGTCAGCTGTGATTTCAGGTGTTCATGCACCTTATCATATGGCATGTGTCCAAACAAAAATGAATTCTCTCCTGATTGAAACATCATGTGTTGAAATAAACAACTGCAGTTCAAAATAAAAAGTGAATTGCCTAATATTTTTGTTGTGGAATTAATAAAAAAAATGTTTTAAAGGCAAAAACATGAAAAAGCTAAAAAAACAAACAATTGAATACAATATATTTGAAGCAACTTAATTTATAAATGGTTGTTCATAATGATGGTAATTAAGTACATACAACTTAAAATTCCTTTTAAATCAAGCGGTAAAACTAGTCGGAACAACTTAATTTATTTTGTAATAAACTTAAAAAACTTGTGTTTATGCTACCAATTATTAAGTGGTAATTAAAAAACACCTCTGATTGTAGAGGAAAAGCCTTCTCCCCTAACTCAAATAACTTTGTTGGTTTAAGACAATTTCATTAGAATTTGTCATAACTCAATAAACATAGATGCAAACTGTTGCGTTGATTTTCTTTGTTGAGCCAAAGCATTTGTTTTTAGAGTGTAACTGTTACGTTTGAAGGGATGAAATCCTAACATCTTCACGTCTCCTAGCATGGTAAATCGTCACATGTTCACGTCTCGCCGTGATACCGGGTTGGTTAAAAGAGGAATAGTCTACCACCACGTACTTCCTTGTTAGCAGGATTGGTGGAGTGGGGACGGGGTAGTGTGTGTGCTTGTCGGATGTGTCAGGATACTGTTTTCTTCCAGTTCCAAGTGGATTTTTAGGACATGCTGCTCCTATTACATGTTCATTTTATGTTGTGTTGGTGCCACTGCAGGTGGAACAAGGGACAGGTAATGGTCCCCTTAGCTCTAAAGAGCCCATTAGAGAGAGAAATCTGTGTGAAATATCATGAGGATAAGGTTTTGTAGCCCCAGTTCTGTGATCTCAGACAGAGCCCTGAAGCCTTTTCACTTTGCTGTTTTATAGCATTCACCATCACTAATTTAGTGGAAACTGAGTAGGGTCAGCACTGTATGAAACCAGTAGGCTTGTCTGATTATCTCTGCAAATTCATGCTAATTTTAGTGCAGAGGAAAGTGGTTAAGATCCCATTCAAGGCTATGATAATAGAACTTTAGTTACGATTCCTAACCTGTTGTGATTTACCATCAATTTGCCTTGACTAATTCCTGAGATGTTTATGAAAGTATCTTTGCATTGTCAATCCAAGAAGAGTTTTTTAGTCATGCATTTTACTTGGCTCAAAGGATTGCAATATCAGTCTCTTGGCCGGTCCACCACTGAGACTAAAATATCTCAACAGCTAGTAGATGGATTTCCATGAATTTGGCACAGGCATTCATTCCTTCATAAGGATACATTGTAAAGATATTGGGGATATCAAGGTTCTTCATCTGGTGCCATTACAAAGTTAAAAAAACAAAACATGTTTTCAGTACTCTAAAATAACATGGATAGCTGGAAATCTAATGAAATTCCATCAGCTTCAGCCTAACTTTGATTTCAATGCAAATAAGCACATGTTAGCATTCCCTAACACACCATCTCTGACAATCTTCAGCCACCTTAAAATAACACTTAGCTTTTTTTCATAAATACCTGGCTCTTGTAGACAATGGAGATAGTTTTCAACAAGTCAAATATACTGTATTTTGTGATGATTTTGCTTGCATGTATTAGATGCTAAACATCAACAACACTTCCCACTGAAGCAAAGTCACTCATGTGGATAAACCTCTTAAGTGAGTCATGAATAAATAAGTGGTCCAAGTCAATCCAATCCATTAGCTCTCAGCAATCACACACTTCACGCAGTTAGCCATTTAAGTTATTTTTTAAATGGTAAGTGTATTGGAGTGACTTACAGATAGCACTTTCATAAAAGAACCCCTTTAAAAACAACAACTTTGCATTCATTGTATTATGTGTATGGTGTTATTTACAGACTAAGAAATGTATTCTTATGTGTGTATCTGATATTTAATTTATGTTTTAGTCTGATTTCATTCTACGATCCTGCATCTTTACTCATATTACTTTTATACATTTGTCTTTCAGATCCTGGCCATCATCTCCATTCTCTTTATTGTGCTATCCACCATTGCCTTGTCTCTGAACACCCTCCCAGAGCTGCAGGAAACAGATGAGTTTGGTCAGTCCTCAGATAACCCACAACTGGCCCACGTGGAAGCTGTATGTATTGCCTGGTTTACAATGGAGTACCTGCTCCGCTTCCTCTCCTCTCCAAACAAGTGGAAGTTCTTCAAGGGTCCTCTGAATGTCATTGACCTGCTAGCAATTTTGCCCTACTACGTTACCATCTTCCTGACAGAATCCAACAAGAGTGTGCTGCAATTTCAAAATGTTCGCCGCGTGGTGCAGATTTTTCGGATCATGCGTATCCTGCGTATCCTGAAGCTTGCTCGTCACTCCACAGGTCTTCAGTCACTGGGGTTCACTCTTAAGAGGAGTTACAATGAGCTGGGCCTGCTTATCCTATTCTTGGCCATGGGCATCATGATCTTCTCCAGTCTAGTGTTTTTTGCTGAGAAGGATGAGGAAGATACAAAGTTTAAAAGCATTCCAGCTTCTTTCTGGTGGGCTACTATTACTATGACCACAGTAGGCTATGGTGATATCTACCCAAAAACTCTACTAGGAAAGATTGTGGGGGGTTTATGCTGCATAGCTGGAGTACTGGTTATTGCCCTACCTATTCCCATTATTGTAAATAACTTCTCTGAATTCTACAAGGAGCAGAAGAGGCAGGAAAAAGCACTCAAACGAAGAGAGGCCCTAGAGAGAGCAAAGAGAAATGGTAGCATTGTCTCAATGAACTTAAAAGAGGCATTTGCTCGTAGTGCAGAATTGATGGATGTGGTGGTAGAGAAGAGCGAGAGGCCTCATGACAACCATCTTTCTCCAAGTCATTGGAAATGGACTCCCAAAGGAGCTGCATCGGAGACAAGCTCAAACCGTTCCTTTAATGCACATGAAGGCTCTCCCGACAAGGGCCGAGACACCAGTCCTCAGAGGATAAATGTTCAGAAGCTCGAGGAGATGTACAACCAAATGGCCAAGACACAATCCCAGCCAAACCTCAATGCTAAAGACAGGGGCTCTAGAGCTGGCAAACAGAGGGACGAGATAGAATTGGGGGCCATACAGGATCACAGGCCAACGATGCTAGGAACCAGGGAAGGAGTGGGTGACATGAAAAGCCTGTCCAGCATTGACAGCTACATCAGTTGTGCTACAGACTTCCAGGAGAATCCACGCTTCACCCATAGTCCAGCAATGGACATTGGTCTTCAGGAAAGCAACAGGTTCTCTCACAGTCCGGCTATAGCTTTTTCCCAGCATGGGAACGCAAAAACAGGCCAACAAATCACTGGGGAGCGTGAGCCCATGTTGACTCCCATCACAAAACCCTCATACTCAGAGAATGCACGGAGATTCTTTTTTCCTGGCAACTCCTCAAAAAGCATTATACCCAAAGGAGGCTGTCGCAGCAATAGGGGGTCAGGCCCGTCCCCGCTCTCAGACAGCTCAGTCCAGTCAGACAACTCTCTGTTAAGCCCGGAAGTTTCCGTCTACACAACCGCCAGCAGCAGAACTCCACCAAAGTCCCCAGAGAGCACGACCCTGGCGGCAACTGTCTTCACCTTCCACGACTCCTCCATTAGCAAATACATCGACGCCGATACAGATGATGATGAGCACCTCCGCGACAACTCTGAAGCCAGTCCTTCAGAGCGTCTTTTGGCTGGTTCAAGCCCAAAACGCAGCATCAACATCAATTACCAGAAGGGCACCAACCATTTAGAAACAGCCCAAAAAATGCTTGGCCAGAACTGTCTGTTCCCAAATGAAGGAATTCGTAGGGTAGTTCATGAGAATCATGTAGGACCTGAGATGGCACGCAGACCAAAGGTTGACAGGGGGCGTCAACATACTTTGGATAAAGGCCTCTGAGGCACAAGTGCAGCAGAAATGAACAGGGAGCTGGAGCAGAGTGTTTATGATGGAGACATCGGACAGACTAAAAACACTATTTTATCCAGAGACAAAGAGGAATAGACAAAGGATCTCACCAAAACATTTCACAAATTATCTGAGCATGCCATAAGGCACTACGCTCAGGGTCAACAGGTGTGGTGAATACTCTGGGAGAAAAAAAACTTCAACATTGGAGAATGTCACTGCCCCTCCTTCAACTCATTCCTACTACTGGTGTTACACAAAACAAAAGAGCACTCCCAGGTAACCTACGGGTCTGTTCAGAGATACCCGTGGAATCAGAGTCGACAGAGAAATGTGGTGAGTTTAAGCGGCAGGGGGATATCTCTTATCTCTCCAGGAAATAAATCCTAGCTGCCGGCTATCCCATTACTGATTCCCAGTTCATTTTGTAGTCTTGGAGATACAGGAGAGGACCTACAAGCCTATAAGCTACTAACTTGTGCCCTCCATTCCCAAAACTGGCCTTAGTCATTTACATTTGTAGGGGTGTGCATGTCTGCATATACCGTAAGGGTATATGTGCATGTGTGTGAGTTAGTGTGAATGTTGATGGGTGATCTAATGGTAATTCATGGATACACACTCTTGAGATTGTCTTACCTGATTTATTTTTATATAGAAAGTCCCTTATAAGTATATGTAATTTGCTAGTCTGCTGTGTCATATTCATACGTGAAGAGTAATCTGGTGTAAGGTGAAATGTCTTGGCACAGCAGCAGTTATCAAAAGCTCCAGCCCATCATCAACTGAACACTCTTTCTTTAACAGTATTTTGCTATTCCCTATGCTATCATGACATGGTGAGAATGGATGATACTTTCAAATATTGACCAGTGAATATTGTCCTAGCACCCCAGTATGATTTTGAGGGATGGTAGTGGTAGTGGACCAATAATTTTGTATATGGGGTAACATAGGAGCCTGAGATAATAAGCTTGATTGCTGCATAAAGCGCACATTTATGAAGCATGCATGCATCAAACCAGTCAACATACAAAAAAATGAGATGCTTTAGAAAATGAAATATATAAAATTCCAGTAATATCGTTTTTTCTTTACAGCAGGAGCAGATGTTCAGCATGCATTGGCCTTCTTTTGACCAACACAAAAGCATCTAATGTATTCACACTCAGATAATGGAATATGTGTGTATTCCATCTGTACTTTGCTCCTTTAATCGTCAAATAAACTTTAATGGCACTAAATATACTCCGCCAGGTTAACGTTACTGCAGGCAAGTCAGTTGTAAATGCGGACCTGATAAAACTCATGCATGAGCACACACACCCACTAATGACACATACAGGCATGAAAAAACATTTTCAGGATACATCGATACATTTAGTTTCCATGGTGACAGCAGCCTTCTTTTAAGGGTGGCTGCAGCTCAGCAAAGGATTGTTAATTGGGGCGGGAAAGTCTGATTGCATTTAACGTTTGTTTAACACATACACATGAACACACACACACACACACACACACACACACACACACACACACACACACACACACACACACACACACACACACGCACACACACAGGCACATACCAATAAAGTGACAGGTATGCACAGTAGACACATGTTAACAGAGCCACTTCTCACTGTGCATATTTATGAGTACTGAAGCAACATTATGATGCCTTGTTATGTTCATGTGTTAAATCTCTGTAGTATTCCATAAATACTACAACTCAACAATGCATTGTCTATTATCTGTTTGTATTACCACATAGCAGTCTTACATAACAAACAGAACCCAACATATAGAGGGACAAAGTGCTGTATTTAAACCAAAATCCTGGACTTAAAAAATATGAATTTATTTATTTATTAATATTGTCTTCACCCCGTATATAGACCATTCTTACATGAGCAGGGTAACTATAAAGGGTTAACAACCCACTGTTCCCCCCTCAGCCCCAAATGTGATTTCAACTATGAAGGTACAACCTTTTTTTAATGCCTTTAACATTTCTGAAGAGCAGGTATCTCTCAACATGACTGTCTCTAACTTTAACAAGATTAGCCATCTCATAAAACTCTGAGGAAACTGTAGAAGCTTCCTGTCCTGAATATAGTAGTGGAAGATATAAATAAAATAGGACATTGCTCTATAATACAAGTAGGTGTTGAGTATACAATTGTATACAAAAGTCAACAGAAGGTGATCGTCATGCATTTCTTAGTGTTTTTGTCCAGAGTCTAATCACAAATCATGATTTCTTTTCCGTTTTAATCACAGAGTTGAACCATTTCATATTGCTCTCGGTTAGTGAAAGGAGCTGAGGTGTGGAGGGAATAACAATGACTGTGAGAGGCAGAGAAAACCGTGTGTGTGTGTGTGTGTGTGTGTGTGTGTGTGTGTGTGTGTGTGTGTGTGTGTGTGTGTGTGTGTGACAGCCAGCACATTAGAGCAGTAAGGAATGAACTATTTGTGAACGAATGCATGTTGGGGGAATCCTGCTTCTTTTCTCTAAATATTCTATCTGCAGTTCTTACTCTTACATACAGCAGTAACACAGATTATACCTTAATCATATGAGATTACTCACACATTTGATTTTATAGGGAGTGAAGCCTAGTATAAAGCTGAGAAGTGACTGATGCGAAGAGCATTTTATCGATCTTATTTTTCATATAATTAGTCAAGGATTGATGGTTTGAGCTGGTGATACATTGATGTAATGCAGCTGCATACACTATGTATGATGCAACATATTTGGTTAGACAAAACCAGTCTTAACACACATTTGGAGTACCGACCCGCTTCATGTACGCTCCATTAGATATGTGTTTTTATCTTATGAAAGTCAAGGCCAATGAATGCAAATATCTGTAACCCAGTCTCACCTAAATTTTAATTGTGGATTACAAAATAAGTAGTCAAATAAGCTCATTACATCATTACAAACAATGAATGATTAAGTTTCATTTTCAACGCTACGATAAAGGGCATTCAGATCACATAACCTCTCATGAAGAATCATATGAGCACCTGTCGCATCATTTAGGTTTGCTATTATGGCAGTCAGGGACCAAGTTTTACTGAAATATCTCTAAACAATGATGACAATCAATATTTCATAAATAGATAGCAAGCACTATTGTGGAGAACTGAGATTTATTATGGGAAGATATTACACAATAGCGCGCCCATGTGCATCGACACAAAGCAAGTGTTTAAATCCTTACACTAGTACTGATACTCTTACGTTTTTAGACTAGTGCAAAAGAAACATCAAGCATGATGTTGTGATTTCATATCTAGACTGCGATACTGTGACATAATACCACCCTAATACAAGAACATATTGATTTGGTCATTCTTTAAATGTATTTTCTTATGTTCATCCTTGTTTTTATTTTAATCTAAAAGGGATTTTTATTTCACTGATATCACTACGGAGAAATTCAAACTAAGCCATTATTCTTGATGAAGAAAACAAACAATCAAGTTACTTTATTTCTCATTTATTGATACAAACTAAGAAAAAGAGCACAGATTCATTGACGTTTCCATAACAAGACTCCCAACTGTACAGTGAATGCATTTAGTTTACGTAAGTTAACTTACAATAGAACTTGGTTGTCGCTCTAGCTGCTAAATTTGTGAAAAGGTTCAAGTCGGTTTTTTGGTTAGAACCCCATAGGACCCTTTTCAAGGACATGTGGTAGTTTCTAAAACCCAGTGCGAACCACTGCTTTAAGTAGTAACCCAAGTAACCCAATTTACTCTGAATCTAACACTGTATTACAGGGTTGGGGTCTATTCAGAATGCCTTGATAAATTAAAACACAAATAACACATTACACTGTAAAAGGAACCAATATTAGAGCATGAGGTAAATAAAAACTTAGTACAAACTAAAACATAATCTATATTTTTTAAATGTTTTAAGCTCTCAGTGGAATTGACCCCAACCTTGCCTAAGCCATCAGTCTTTGTAAAGTACACTGTTTCCAGGGAAGTGAAAAAAGATATTTGAAAGACCTTAGCCAGCTCTTATACAATGTTGTTTGTAGGTCCCGAGGCTGTCTGTTTTGTACAAAAAAAGAAAAAACATTTGTACCTGTTGACTTTCTATGCTGTTGTTTCTGTATCAATGTTTTGTTGTTCTGTGCATGTTGTACCTTTGGCGTTGTGACTGGTTGTGAGTCACACAGAGCCAGTACTTGTCATGTTAAAAAAGTGTCTCAATGTCCCAAGATATTTCTATTTCTCAACAAAAGCAACATTTCCCTTGAATGAAATAAATCAGATCACTTTACATTTTGATTAGGATTTCTGACTTTCTTTTTTTGCTTTTAATTTGCTGTTGTTGATGCAAACTAAAATAAAAATGTGTTTTATTAAAATCTTTGTTGAGCAGTCAGGACAACAAATGCATTGGATTCTGATTCGAATTAGCAATTTTCATCAGCACATATTCAGCCATTTTAATAAAACATCTACATGAAGTTGCACTCATCTGGAGAAGAAGGCACACCTGAGCATTGACCAGAACTCTTTAACAGGACCGGTTTATTATTCTGGCAGATTGTTCTTTATACATGAGCCTGAGAAGATGCGTACAGGATAACAGAGGGAAGGAGGATGTTATATAAAGAGGAAGCTGTGGGCTGTTGGGCAGGAGCAGGCCTCCATCCTCCCCACACGCCTCCACACACCCCTGCATCGAGGGTTTCCCACCGCCTGCCACTGGAGTGACTGTCTTCTGCACCAAGGATGAGGGGAGGAATCAGTTAGTGGTCACACAATTACACTTTAAATCCAAGTGATAAACAATAATGCCATCTAGTGGTAGTCCTCATTGTTACCTATCGGATCAAAGAGATAGGTGAAGATCATTTGTCCAGGGTTCTGTGAGGAAGAACAATCCGGCCCAGGCTGCATTGTCACAAATGATCCGCATATCTGTACTCTATCCACCACTGCACCTCGTTTCAGAATACATGCTTGATCTTTGCAGATACCGTGGCCAGGATCTTCTGGAGTTTGAATTGTTTATCCTGATGATATGGCGAGGGTTCAAGTTTGGTTGAATGTGTTTTTTGGGTTAACGTTCTAGTAGAGCTATGGAGCAGTTTTTCTTTGTGCACAAAGACCAGGATGTGAAGAAAGGTCCACACATCCAGCAAAGGCAAGTTTCAAACTTACCGTACTTGGCAAAATGGCTAATAAACATTTGTGTGTAAATTGATTAGCTAATGGCAGGTGAAGCTTTTATAATGTGAAAAATAACAGCAGCAACTGCGCTCTAATTATTTTTTTTTTGCCAATTTGCCTTTGGTGATAAGGAAAGGTGACCTTTAATAGTGAAGTTTTGTCCAACACTCAGTATCTTTACTAACTAGCCAAATTAAATTCAAGCTCATTTCATGGTTGGATGACACCTTGGCAGAGACACTTTATCTTTCTCTTCTGGTCATTAACATTTCCAGAACAACAAAGGCTTGAATGTGTGAATTCAAAGAAGAATAACTTCTGCTCTTTTTCTCCATTTGTAATCATGGAGAAAGCAATGCTTTCATCGAAGAAACATTTTAGTAATCTAATCCATTCTTACCTTCCCCCGTCGTCTTCCTCTCCATCTCCGGCACAGTGTGTCTGTCCAGCAGAGAGAGCGGGCGGCTGGCACTCGACACACACACGGTGCCCCTCCCTCAGGTGCTGCATCCACTGAGTGTGTGGGCCCGAGCTCTGCTGGCACCCTTTAGTCAGAGAGGTCAACTGAAACTGGACACAATACCTATTTTACACACACACACACACACACACACACACACACACACACACACACGGGTAATAGAGGTATAGTCTAATATTATCCATATATCGGGGATAATAATGTTTCAAGACAGGAGTTCAACATTTTATATCACAGATATTGCAATAAGACTCTCAAATAAAAGGAGACGTAATTACTTGCGCCTATATTGGGTTGCCCTGGCGCCTGCGGGGCCATGTGCAAGTACACTGCACAAGATACATGATTGTATTTGAAATGGAAATGGGTATCCTACGTGTTATTACTTTGCCTAATATACTAATATACTTATGAATAATGCACTGCGAAGCATGTAGAGATAGTTTTCAACCCGGTAAAACAGAAGTACGCGAGTTAGCTATAGTGAGTACGGTTAACTCACTATAGCTCGGGGACGAGTTAGACTGATCTGTTCGTTATGTAGGTCAAGAATAATATGTAGGTACGCGACCAGGGCGCACTGGAAAAACGTACCCGTTTACGTATCGTATCCTATGTCACTAAAACCAGCATCCAATAAGCTCCCCTTCACGATCTATCTCATGCACATCCTGTCCCTTTACAATCTATCTATCAATTGTTATTTATCCCCTCCCACGAAACATAAGTGTGCGAATTACATGCTATGGTGATCTTACATTATTTTCTAATAGCGATACTAAAACTGCGCAATAATTACACCACACAGTTACATCATTCACTAAAAACACATTTGTAAGGGGACCAAAACGACACATGACTCTATAAATGTAGAGTAGAAAACACATAACCGAATCACGGCTCGACTAGAATAAGGTCATCCGTGTAACGACTCGATGCTATCCGTTTACTTATAGACGTTCGACGACAATTGAGCGTTTTTTCCAGGACTGCACAAGTAACCTTGTCTTGGGTGAACACGATAGACAATCTCCGCACTCTCTCGGTAGATGCATCCTTTTGTGACCTGACTTGTTTGACCTGGGCTTTAGACTACTCGGCTTTGGTTACCATCTATATAGGCTTATTAGGGCCTCGGCGAATAGCTGGATTGACGTCCGTGGAGTCCGGTATCATGCAGCCAGGCAGGACACCGCGTGGTGTCTGCTAGATAGAGCGGAGGCCGGGAGGTAACCCAGTACTTCGCGACTTCTGTACGGTCCGGACATTCACCACCGACATCAGGACGGCGCTGGTTTTCGTCGCTTCTTCTGAAGCCACAGAGCGTGTCATTCCTTCACCGTTGTAAAGTTTAGGTACCGCCGATCAGCTCGACCATAACCAAACGGGGAAGACAGTATTTAATGGAAGGCGAGGCGACACCTAGGGTGACCGGAAAGTAAATGTACGCGGCGTAGAGTCATATCCCCGGTCTTGGTCTCAGACATAACAGACAGAGACAAGATCATAAACATTCCAATATAGTAGGAGGTCCGAGACAGTGTGACTGTTCGATACTTACGTTATTGGGTAGCTGGAGACAGGCGACGGTCACGAAGTTCCCCACGCCTTCACCTATGGAAAGAGTGGTCCCCCAACCTGTCAAGGGCACGCCGTTCTCAGACGATCCTAGAGTCTAATCCATAGAAAAAAAAGTGGCCAGGTTGACAGGCAATTTCCAAAATTAGAAGGCCTGTTTTAAACTTTCACGGTCAGTTTCCAGAAGAAACAATAAATAACTCGCAATTTTGTTACTTATTGCTAGATATATTATTATATTCTTATCTTTTGCCTCGGAGAGAAAGGAGGGGCAGAAGACTGTCGGGTCGTCGACTACAGACTCGTCCTTCTCCACCCCTCTCCGGCCCCGATAACGAAGTTTGCAATAGTCCTTTACTAGCATATCCGGGCATTTGTGCCTCGGCAAACGGGTGGGGGTCTCGCAAAACAACGTCTAGATGGGTGGAACCCTGGGCAATAGTCAAAAGACGCAAAGGTACAACCGGAGCACACCGGCTTGGGCAGATAGACTATCAACTTGACATCGTCTATGCTTACAATAGCAGGGACACACCGCCCGAACTCTCTATAACCAAAATTTTTTTTGTGTTACCACGAGATCAGATCCTCCTCAAGCCACTATGTCCACCCGGTTTTTTTGCAATACTGTAGTATTTCACCGGTTTTAGACTAGTTCGAGTAAAACCTTTCCAAAAAAATACTTAACCTAGTCCTGTTTTTCTCTCCCCCCAAGTACTTTGTAAGTCGTAGAGAAACGTGTCTCCCCTGTGGTAAACATACAATTTTATGTACTTTTCACCTAAAAACGTGTTATCCACTGGGAAATTCTAACGGGTGAGGTGAAAAGAGTTATGTAGTAATTTTATATAAAACATAAATTTCGAATTACACAAATGGTTGGTGTGTGACGTGTACAACTATCACTCTGATCTGGAAGGTCTTTTTGCGCTAAGACGGCAAGCGTTCTTAAATGGCGTATTAGTCGTTTACCGCGTCTAAAAATTTTCCTCGTATAAATAGTTTTTCCTGGCGCTATTAGGGCGGGACGTAAAAAGGTGTGTTTCAACTCTTTTTTTTTTCAATTGAGCAGAACTGCACTTACATACATACTATCTACTCCTAGCACTGCAGTAAGTCGAGCGGTAGTGTCTTCCATTTGTTGTGGCCACTCACTCAGCTGAGACACACGCTGAAAATACCGTGTGCTGCTGCGTGTGTGAGGTTCTACTTTTTTAGACTAGGGTATAGTAAATGTCCAAACGCCCCACGGTCTTATCAAAGGGGGCGTGAAAACGCTTTTCTTAGCCCCATGACGAAACGGGGCCCAGAAATCGTCTTTACAAGCAGCCATTTACTATACCTAGTCTAAAAAAAGTAGAACCTCAAAAAGAGAGAGGGCACTCTCACTTAATAAGAGGTGACTGAATGTTTTGCATGGCGGATCGCGATCTTACTCGTCAATGGAGGGCTAGACAGCAACACGCTCGCGACTTGTCTACAGTGCCGCCAGCTCAATAGTGATCCTAAAGGCGATAGATATAAAGCAAATTTAGGAACACTCACGTTCATGCTTCTACGATTTGATTACACACAAAATTCTAGATACAGGCTCGTCAGTCTAGGACATGTTCACGCTCGCACCTTTACTACTCTCCTGCAGCTTAAAAAGTCCTGGCCAAATATAAGACCGGCTAACAACATAATAGTACCTGCGGACTCTTAGGCATAGCATATTCTCTCTTACTCCTGCACTAGATGAAGTGTCGACACACGTAATGCGTCTCGCCAGATTGTTAAGGAGCTCGGACTCTCTTACAAGTGTCTCTATTATGCTTTGCTTCACTCATATACGTTCTAACCTTCGCCAACAGCAACGCACGTCCTTTCCTAGGAGGGGATGCGTTGCTCTACTTGGTCATAGTGTCAGTCGTGGTCCATCTGACGTTCCGACCTCTTCACATTTAGTCCACACAGTGAGTAAATCTACGGAGTACCACATTATAGCTATATCACTACTACAACAATCTAAGCAAGACACAGTCCCAAGTACTCTCTCTTCTCACTCCGTCCGT